CGCCCCAGGAAGGTCGCGGGGGTGCTTTGGCCCCCTCGGGTGCGCTGTCGATTGCCCCTGGGCCCGAAAAGGGCCGCAGCCAAGGGAACCCTGCGGAATTGAGAAGTCGCCACAGACCTGGGTGAGGACGAGGATCCTCGAGCCCATCCCTCCTCCTCCTCCTCCTCCTCCTCCTCCCCCTCCTCCTCCTCCCCGTCCTCCTCCTCCTCCCCGTCCTCCTCCTCCTCCTCCTCCTCCTCCTCCTCCTCCTCCTCCTCCTCCTCCTCCTCCTCCTCCTCCATTCCTTATAAATAACTTCTCCCCGTCGCACCCCGAGGCCAGTTTGTAGGGCGGTCCGGGCATTTCGCCTGAGACCTCCTCACCATTTATGATTCTGAGACCAAGCAATTACAACAGCTTCACAAATGGAGGGCGGGTCGTTTTCAAAATGTGGCTCTCGCCTTAGCGCGGCACACATTCGTTTTAAACAGTCGCAAGACTCTCACGGATTGAGGGCGGCTCCTTTCCAAAATGTGGCTCTCGCCTTAGCGAGGCACACATTCGTTTCAAAGATGCAAGAGTTTCACGGATTGAGGGCGGTTCCTTTTCAACATGTGGCTCTCGCCTTAGCGCCGCGCACATTATTCGCTGAAGACTTTGCAAGGGCTTCACGGATTGAGGGCGGCTCCTTTTCAAAATGTGGCTCTCGCCTTAGCGAGGCGCACATTCGTTCAAACACTTGCAAAGATTTCACGGATTGAAGGCGGTTCCTTTTCAAATTGTGGCTCTCGCCTTAGCGCGGCGCACATTCGTTGAAAACGTTGCAAGAGTTTCACGGATTGAGGGCGGGTCGTTTTCAAAATGTGGCTCTCGCCTGAGCGCGGCGCACATTCGTCTAAAATGTTGCGAATGTTTCACGGATTCCCATCATCAACGTACCAGAAATGGCGTTTTGAAAGGATGCAGGACTATGCGGGTGCAACAGGTCTGTTGCTTCGCTGTGTTGAAGTCCCAAGAATGGCGCCTGGCACAATTCAGGATCGTCAAGACGCAACTCAGGTTGATCCATGGCGCTGGAATTCAGGGAAAACAATGTCTTGGCATGCTTCAGGGTCTTTAACACTTGTCTTCCAAAGAGACAGTTCCTTTAATGGAAATGAGCCGTTGTAGGGGCCTATGAAGAGGGAGCTTGGACGGAGGGTTTATTCCAACATCGTTGATGGCTCTTGGGTTTGCACTGGTCCTCCTCCTCCTCCTCCTCCCCCTCCTCCTCCTCCTCCTCCTCCTCCCCCTCCTCCTCCCCCTCCTCCCGTCCGGTGCCCCATGCCTCAGAACCCCCTTCTTTGAAAACGCCACCGGCCTGCGACTCCACGGCCGCCAGGAGGTCGTCCACGTCGCCGTCCCAGGCCAGGGCTCCCACCAACCCCTGCGGGGGGAGCGAAAAGATACCGATACCGCTGCTCCACGGACCTCTCCGGGGGTGCGTTCCGACGTGAAGCTCGAAGAGCATTCAGCCGCGGCGACGGGGGCTCTCGAGAGCAAGAAGCAGCATCGGTGTCTCTGCTTCCGCTGACCGGGGGCAACGATAGGGGCGAATAGCCCAGGGGAGAGCAACCCATGCATGAAGATTCGCCGATACAAAGTAGTCCATGCCTTCGGCGAGGCTCTCGGGCGAATACGTGTGATACCCGCCCCTGGTAGGACATGCGAAACCCCACCCCCACCAACCGTCGATTCTCCGGAATCGATGGGAGGTGTTGGTAGAGCTCGGATTTCGCCAAGTGTTCGACGGATTACGAACCCTAATACCCCGCCGACAATCGAATTGCATGAATCGCGAAGACGAAGATGAATCTGAAGATGAGGAAGAAACATAATAATAATCACACTAATAACAATCATAATAATAATAGTAAGAATAATAATGCTAATAATAATAATGATCAGAAGAAGAAGAATAACAACAACAACAACAACAACAACAACAACAACAACAACAACAACAACAACAACAACAACAACAACAACAACAACAACAACAACAAACCACTGCATAAACATCAGCTGTTGGCGCTCCGTGCAGATTTCTTGGATCTGAGCTGGACCCCCCTCCCTGGCGCGCGGAGCGCGCCAGTGGCGGCGCCGGAGGCGCCGCCGGGGGTGGCCAGCGCGGATCCAAGAAATCAGCGCGGAGCGCCAACAATTTACGCTTATGCCGTTCTTCTATCTTCGTGAATCGTTGATCTGCGAGGAAAACTGGGCTACTCGCCCCGAGCCGCTCCTCCTCCTCCGCCTCCTCCTCCGCCTCCTCCTCCCCCTCCTCCTCCTCCTCCTCCTCCCCTCCTCCTCTTCCTCCTCCCCTCCTCCTCCTCCTCCTCCTCCTCCTCCTCCCCCTCCCCCTCCCCATCCTCCTCCAATTCTCCTCCTCTTCCTCATCCTCCTTCTCCGATCCTCCTCCTCCTCCTCCGCCTCCTATCTCCTTCTCCTCCTCCTCCTCCTCCACCTCCTCCTCCTCCTCTTCTCCTCTTCTCCTCCTCCTCCTCCGATCCTCCTCCGATCCTCCCCGATCCTCCTCCTATCCTCCGATCCTCCTCCTATCATTCTCCTCTCCTCCTCCTCCTCCTCCTCCTCCTCCTCCTCGTCCTCCTCCTCCTCTTCCAATCCGCCAATCCTCCAATCCACTAATCCTGGAATCTTGTAAACCTGAAGTCCTGAAATCCTGAAATCCTCCTCCTCCTTCTCATCCACTCCTCCAGTCCTCCTTCTCCTCCTCTTCCAATCCTCGTTCTCCTGCTCCTCCTCCCCCTCCTTCTCCTCCTCCTCCTCCTCATTTAATCCTCTTCCTCCTCCTCTTCATCCTTCTCCTCCTCCTCCTCCTCCTCCTCTCTCCTCCTTCCTCCTCATCTTCCTCCTTTCCTCCGATTCTCCTCCTCTTCCGATCCTCCTCCTCCTCCTCCTCCCCTCTTCTCCTCCTTCTCCTCCTCCTCCTCTCCTCCTTCTCCTCCTCCTCCATTCCTTTCCCTGATAAATAACTCCTCCTCCTCCTCCTCCTCCTCCTCCTCCTCCTCCTCCTCGTCCTGCTTCTCCTCTCCTCCTCCTGTCCTCCTCCTCCTCCTCCTTCATTCCTTTTTCCTTATACCTAACTTCTCCCTGTCGCACCCCGAGGCCAATGTTTCGGGCGGTCCGGTCGTTTCGCCTGAGACGGCCTCACCTTCCATGACCCTGAGGCTTGAACATTGGCGACAGTTTCACAGATGGGGGGCGGGCCGTAAGTGTGGTTCTCGCCTTAGCGCCGCGCACCATTCGTTTATATATATATATATATATATATATATATATATATATATAATATTTATATATAATTTTTAAAAAAAAAAAAAAAAAAAAAAAAAAAAAAAAAAAAACATTTGCAAGTGCCTCATGGTTTGAGAGCGGTTCCTTTTCAAAATGTAGTTCTCGCCTTGGCGCCGCGCACATTCGTTGTAAACTTTGCAAGGGTTTCACAGATTGAGGGCGGTTCCTTTTCAACATGTGGCTCTCGCCTTAGCGCCGCGCACATTCGGTTTCTAATTTGCAAGAGGTTCACGGATTTCCGTGATCGGCGTACCAGACATGGTGTTTTGCAAAGATTCAAGAGGGCACAACAGTTACGTTGATTCCCGGTGTTGAAGCCCCAGGAATGGAGTTCTGGCAATATTCAGGATCGCCAAGACGCAACAATCAGGTTGATCCATGGCATTGGAATCCCGAGAAAACAATGTCTTGGCATGCTTCAGGGTCTTCAAACGGTTGTCTTCCAAAGAGGCAGTTCCTTCAATGGAAATGAACCGTTGTAGGGGCCTATGAAGAGGGAGCCTGGAGGGAGGGATTATTCCGACATCGTTGGTGGCTTTTGGGTATACACTGGTCCTCCTCCTCCTCCTCCTCCTCCTCCTCCTCCTCCTCCGATCCTCATTATCCGATGTTCCTCCTCCTCCTCCTCCTCCTCCGATCCTCCGATCCTCCTCCACCTCCTCCTCCTCCTCCACCTCCTCCTCCTCCTCCTCCTCCTCCTCATCCTCCTGGGCTGCTCGCCCCTCACCGTCGCCGCCGAGCCGGCCTGCGGCAGCGCCTGGCCCGCCGCCGCACCCGGCGCGGGGCGCAGCCGCACCCCGGGCGGCGCGCCGGCGCGGTCGGCGGCCGCGGGAGCCGCCCAGGCGCGCCCGCTCACGGCGCGCGGTGGCTCCTCGTCTTCTCTAGGAAGAGGAGGAGGAGGAGGAGGAGGAGGAGGAGGAGGAGGAGGAGGAGGAGGAGGAGGAGGAGGAGGAGGAGGAGGAGGATCGGAGGAGGAGGAGGAGGATCGGAGGAGGAGGAGGATACGATACGATACGCACACCCTTAGCGCCATGTTGTCTGGTAGTCCAGTGAGTACTGTACTCACACAATGTCAAAATCGCGCAGCAGCGGGCCCTGAACATTCAAGACTGACTGGAGGCATCGTGGCGCGGTGAACCTTCTCTTTGGAGTGAGTGCCGATGCCGAAGCTCTACGCACCAGGGCCGCAGACAAGGCCCCGCACGGGGCCGTCCTGGCCCCTGCAGCCACCGACGCATAAGGTAGCCACAGGGGGCTGTGGCGAATCGAGATTCAGGGTTGACCGCTTGCTTTCTTAGCAATGTCAAGAATGTTTCTACTGCTAGCGAAAACAGAAAACCTCTGAGACCCTGGGTAGATCCCCCGAGAGGCCAAGTATTCAGTTACTATCTGCTTTTCAGTGCGAGGAGGAGGAGGGGGAGGCAGAGGACTCACAGGAGTGGGCGAGGGCACAGGCGCGGGCCTACTCGAACTCGAAGCTGAGCTGGCCCCCGTCGGTCTCGAGGGAGTGTCTCGTACAAAATCGCATATATCGGGTATTTCCCAAATGATGTCCGAGCGGCCGTCAGGATCGTGAGAGTCAGTCGCCAAAATGCTCGACCATGCCGAGCTCGAACCAATCTCGGGTAATTTGAGGGCCGCTCGTACTTGATTCACTTCAGTAGGGCCTCCAAGAAGGTCTGGATCTCCCGCTCCATGAATGATGCTGGGGCTCTGCCGTACTTGCGTGTCGTCTGTGGCACTTGAGAAAGGCAAGCCAGGAGAATACTGCGGAACTTCGCGTCCCTGGTGGCGAAGGTGATCCTGCGACGTTCTTTCTGGAAGACCTTGTCCTGACGGCAGAATAGAATTAGCTCGCACTTCTGCTCGACTGAGTACCCGTCGTACTCCTTCCATGCTGTCGCGAGGTCGGTGTGATTCTGGGCTCCGAGACTGTCGCCGTACGTCAGGAGTCCCTTGATGAGCCCGCCCATCGCGTATATGTGCGGAGGTCCGAGGGTGTGCTCTTTGCCCTTTGACTTGGTCTCGGCGGCGTAGGCCACGGTCTGTTCGCTCATCATCGCGATGAATGCGACCGTCATCGGGACGATGAGTGTCGAAGATGACCCCTGACATGTCGCGGCGCTGCTGGCTGAGCCTGAGGATCTGCTTCAGCATGAGCGCGAAGAGCTTCTTCTGCTCGTCGGGTATCTGCTCGGCGATCTGCTTGGACTCCTCTTTCGTGCCGCCCTCGACGCGGCCCTTCTTCCTCTCGTCGCGAAGGCCCTGGCCCCCGTCTCCGCCCGAGCCCGCCGCTGATCCAGTCAGTGCCGCCAGAACGCCAGGCATGGTAAAATAGTGTCGGAAGGGGTCTAGGTAGATGCTCGTCTTGCAGGTGGCGAAAGTAATCGATGCTCGATGGAAACACTACGGAACTCGGGCATAGAGGACAGGTCCATTCGTTTTTCTGCTCGGGTTCCCAAGACATGTGAGCTCTTCCCATTAGACATCGGCCATACCCATAAGAATGTTTCAGATGTTTGCGAGCATTGTGTACATCTCTGAATATACTCATACAATTTGGGCACTGATTCGTAATAACGCCACTATGAAGTATATATTTCATCTTATGTCCATTCGTTTGGTGTCCCATGAGAGCCCTGTAGGTGTCGAACTGGAGGCCACATGGGTTTCCCTCGGGGTCCGTGATCATGCATGTGTATACGTGTTCGCTTTTGGCTTCGGGGTTATGTACTTCGGGGAATAGAGTACACCATTTGCCGTAATCCGTGAACGCTGCTGCTCTCAAGATCGAGGGGTCGATATTCAGAAACTCCTGGAAAGAGTCAGAGTTGGGTTCGAATGGGGCCTTCCACGAAGACCCAGCCGCCTCCCAAGCCTCGAAGAAACTCTCGGTCCCACTGATCCCCTCGTAAAGGTACAGGCTGCGATGGAACTCTTTTGCCCAGGGATTCGCGTCGATGCTGAGCTGTCCGTCTGGCAACAGCGTCGGTCTCTCCATCTGTAAAGGACCGAAGATCGCCGCAATCGTCTGGCTGTGGGCGCGACGGTGGGTGAGCATGCCTTGAAGCCACCGAATCCTGCGCACCGCCAGTTCCCCCCGAGCAGGGAGGATGCGAAATCTGTAGAGCACCTCTGAATTCCGAAGTGTGCGAACGCGTGGCCCATCGTAGGAAGTGGCAGCACCCCGCAATAGAACTCTGAGGTATCTTACAGTACAAGAATCTATCTTCTGATACTCTGCTGGCTTAAGGACAAATGCTTCAAGACCCGTGATGCCACTTTCCACGACTTTGCCAAGAAAGAGCTCGCGCTTAAGTCGATGCAACCCACGCTCGTGCCAAAATAGACCGATGACAGACCAGCCCGCGTGCATAGAGCGGATTCTGCACTGTACCTCTGGAGCATTAGAGCCATTCATATGATGTCGAGCTCCCAGATGCCTAGCGTGACTGCGCACAGTGCCACAGGACTCAGGGCAAACCTCCTGAAGGCGACGGTTTTCCCTTGTAGATCCCAGGCAGGGTATGATGTCTTTCTTTTGCATATTCTGCTGAAAACGCCATTTTTCCAGGACCTGGTTCATCTTCGAGTCGCCTTCTCGGATTGCCTCTAAAGCCCCAGACGCCGAGGGATCTTCTAGAATGCGTCGCCGAAATAAATCATCTGCAAAACCTACCATTGAACAGTCTAAAGCCGAGTTGCCAAAAACTCCTGAAAGATATATGGGGGCCCCGTCGAGCTCGAGGATTTCGTCATAGCACTGGTCGAAGACGCCGACGAATTGTCGAGGTGCCTCACATGACCCTTGGGGCCCCCCATTCTTACTGAGAAATGCTTCAGGCTTGTTATATACTTCAATTAAAACCACACTGTTGATCAGGCGCTGCTTCGCGAAGTCCTGTAGATCCTCGCGCACCATTACCTCGGAGGTATGGGTTAAAAGATCCTCAGTGGATGGACACAAGAAAGCGTTCGTCATGTCGTGAAGCTCGCATACATGGGGGATCCTGGCTTTTCGCAGAGACCAGCCTAGTCGTAGTTGTACTAGTATGGCCCCCTCCCTCCTCCGATACTTCAGAAATCCATGCCATCGTCCCGAAAACGATTTGTCATATGCCTCATCTTTATCCCCCCAGCTGTATAGTACTGAATACCAATGTTTCCAAAACACATCTGATAAATGTATTATCCTCTGGCTAAGCATGTTAGACTTGCCGTTAGACTTGTCAAGAAGGATCCCCTCAGTGATACTAGACTTGGTGGGAAGCTGCCCCACCTCGAAGGACCGAAACAGAATATTTTCAAACTCCAGGCGTGCTCTCGTCATCTCAGCTGTTGTGGCCAAGATGTGTTCACGTCCATCAGGGGCTCGTTGATCTCCTGGGGCTTCCCGTCCTGAGTGGAGCGTAGTTGGCTGCCGCGTCCGAGGTTCAGGAGGAGGAAGTTGCGCATCTGGCACTTCTGATTCTGCTGCCTGAATGTCGTAATCGAGGTTGTCAATCTCTGCGAAAGGGTCGGCGTCATTCTCGTCGGCGGTGGTCCAGCGTAGAGGTGGCCTATCAGCCTCCGAATTGTTCAGGTCATTTTCGTCGCAGCCACTCTCGCGAGGGAGGAGGGGGCCCCTGGCTCCGAGGTTGGTCTCGCCACCTGTTGCCTCTTGGGCTGTGTTCTCCAGTCGGCGCTGGCCCGAGTGCGGCGGTCCGAGATCCCTGGAGGCCTGGCCCTGGTGTTGTTTGTCCCGGGCCCGGGGTATCCAGCAAGAGGTCGTGGCGACAGTCGGCGGCGAAGCCTGCCATTGATGGCCCAAACCTGGTCGCTCATCTGGTGCGTCGTGATGGACAGAGGTGACGCCGTGCCCCAGGCCGAACTTGGAATATCGCTGCTTCGAAAGATGTCCAGGTGCAAGTACTACCAATGCCAGTTCCGATGGTGCACTCCACTTCGGCCCGCAGCGTCGGCCACGGGCTCGCCTTAGCTTCCAAATCATTTGTCGGACCATGACAGAGGCGGTGATCTCCATGTTAGGGCTGCGACGCTTGATGATGGGTGGTTCCTCCGAGAGGAAGTCGCGAAGCATGAGATTCAAATCGGGAATATGCGTCGCTTCCACGCCCCCGTCAAATCCGCGTCGCGCGAGAAGTCTTTTCAGTTCTTCCAGCGACGGCTTATAAGAAGAGATAGCATTGTAACGTCGGTTCTTCACACCTGTTGATCGTCCAGAAAGTAGGCGTGCAAGCTTGTGTACTTCAGCCTGCTGGCCCAAAGCTCGTGCCTCGCGCAGCTCTTGATGGAGGCGTTCGCGGTGTGCCGCTCGGCGCCGACGAGCCCAACGTCGGAGTTGGCATGAGATGCGCTTGATCTTGGCCAATACGCCAAGGTAATCATCAGTAAAATCAGGAAGGTGTCCATATGTATTCCAGTACTCTGCTGCCTCGAGTCGGTGAATCTTGCGTTGTTTGACCAGGGATACTCGTTCTTGCTGAAGCCGATGTTCCGCTGCGTCGGTAGACTTATTTTCCAGTGCGAAATGTTGAAGGCCAATCTGCTGTACAATCTCCGCCCACCTGTCGTAGAAGTCATCAGTGTGCTGGTGGTTCGTGGTGCACTCGTTAAAATAATCTGCTTGTGCCAGCATGGCTGTCTCCAAATCACGATGGCAGTCCTCTCTCCCAATGCCCGTCTGAAGTGCTGTAGAAAGCTTCTGGAAATCCCATCTTGCTTTCGGTGCCAGAGGTATCGGGATGGGGAGCTCATACTGCATTTCGAGAACGACAGGGACGTGGTCGCGGGGGGCGCTCTTGGGGATCAGTTGAAGACTCCGACCTGCTTGCCATGCGACATTGCAGTGGCGAATCCCTGGCCCTAGACCTTTTGGAATGGCGACGATGTCCAGCGTTGATGTATCTCCCTGGGCCCCAAAGTACGTGGGTCCTGCTTTTGGCCAGAAAGTCCCTGGTGACATCATCCCGAGATCGAGGAGCGTAGTCGAAAAAAAATCACCCGCGGGTCCATTTGGTCGAAGATGGTGGGGCCCTAGGAGGTCTTGGTCTAGATCCACAGGGGTGCCGTCCTCCCAGAGCCCAAAGCCAGAATTTATATCCAAACCACATATAGGCGTACTTCTCGCTCGGGTTAGTTCGAGTCGGTGTCGAATATGTTTCATGACTGTCGTCGCCGCCTGGATCTGCGCTCGTCTTTTATGTCCACTCGCATATATAGGTGGGGGGTACGCACATGTAGCCGTTAGATCGACATGTCCGCTCTTGATCCTGATTTATCCATATATGCCTGCAATACTCCGTGGTCCTGCATGTACCGCATACACATGTTGACGCTTCAATCTTCGACCCAGTACTATGCATACCCCCGCACTGTTGTTACTGAAAGGAGCCCTCTGCCAGCCGAAGTGGATCACTGTAAACTTGTTACCTATATCCTCTGTGTGAAATTCACGGCCTGTCCATTCCCTCACCCTTGTCCCTGGCAGCAGAATTAGGTCGCAGTTCAGGGTTTCCGCGATCTCCCGCAGGCGGCCTGCGGGTACAAGGGAGAGGGGGTTGTAGAGGGCGACGCGCAGGAGGCCCACCATCAGCCCCCCGTATAGGCTCGCCAGATGCATCGGAGGCCGAGCCAGGCAAGTATAAGGTGAGTGAACGCTAAATTTCTCTGGGAGCTGGGGGGTCGCTGCCGCTGCTGAATGTGGGTTCGGGAGGAGATGGCAGCTGAGGAGGAGGAGGAGGAGGAGGAGGAGGAGGAGGAGGATCGGAGGAGGCGGAGGAGGCGGAGGCGGAGGAGGAGGAGGAAATAATGGCATGAGCATAAACTGTCGTAGCTCCGCGCGGGTTTCTGCCGCCCTGCCGCTCTCATGCCAACTCCGTGGAGCCTCGACGGCGAGGCCGTTGCTGGAATGCATCACGCGTGGTGCGTGTGGCCATTCGGAAAGGCAGCAATAACCGTAACTCGGCGCCGTGCCGTGAGGGCCCGGCACAGATCCAAGAAATCCGCGCGGAGCTCCAACAGTTTGCGTTCATGCATTTCTCTGTTCCTCGACCCTCGGAGGGCACCAAGTTGTGGTCATGTTTTTCAAATGGCCATACGCACCACGTGAGGCATTCCAAAATCGACGTCGCCGTCGAGGATCGAGGAAATTGGCATCCCTTCTTCGGCGGAAGGCGGCGGAAGGGCAGCGGAAGCCGGCGAGAATAGAACGAGGCCGCCTCCGCTGGCGGAAAACAGGCGGAAGTAAAAAGCGCGTCCCAAGAGATGGCAACCTTTTTCCCAAAACGGTGCTCGCACTTAGGGTTTCGTACTTCTGTTCTGAAGAACTGGGCCGTGTCTTGGGTCTAGCGGCTATGTGGCCGCCGTCGCCGCCCCGTCGCCGCCTCGTCGCCGCCCGTCATCTGGGCCGTGGAGCATGGCCAAGCCGCCCGTTCTGCCAAACGGGCCTCTGGCGCCGCATGCCGAAATCATGCGAACGCCCTTGCGCGCGTGCTGGGAGGCACGATCCGTCTCAAATAATACCATGCGGGCCACTCTCGCGCGTCGGCCGCGCGCGCATGTCGAACTATGTCGAACTCCTTCCAAAACCTTCATCACCAACGCGGGAACGCCATATCTTCGTCGGCGTGAGCAATATCGGCGCCGTCACTGGCCGTGCCGTCGTCCCTGTCAGCATCGTCACCGCATCGTTATAACCATCATCGTGTCTACCGTTGTCGACGTTGCCGTGGTATCGCGCCCGCCCAAGTCGCCGACTCGCACTGGAGTGCCCGCTGGGATGTGCCCAGCAGTCAGCGCCACCGCGGCCGCGCTGGTCGCGCCCAACTACCTGGCCGCTGCGCGCGCGTGCATGCGCGGGCTGTCGCGGCCGCGGAGATGCACCAGCCAACGCCAAGCACTCATCGCAATCGCCGCCGCACGGGGTTTTGCAAACCACGTTGCGGGCGGGTGGGTGGGATGTTTGCAAGAGCATGGAATCTGTCAACTCGTTTCGTATAAAAAAACGATTGCACCACGTAGATTGCACAACCTGGGTTGCACAACGTAGATTGCACAACATCGCTTGCTGGAAGCACACTGCCTGGGGCCCACGCTGGCAAACGCTGGGCTCAAGGCTTCCGGACTCCGCCGCGGGCCGCCAACGCGGCACGCTGCACTGGAAACGGGGGCGCTCACGCGCGCCCTGACGCGCGACTGTCGGCGCAATCGGCCCCGCGCTTCCGCGTCGCTCGCGCGCCTCCCCTCGGCGCGGCGCCGCCCGCGGCAGGAGCGCGCCCTCCAGAGCGCGACGCGCCGAGAGGCGTGGAGCTGGGCAGCAGGTCTCCGCGCCCGCGCGCCGGCGCGATGCGCCACCACGCGCCGCCACGCGGGAGGAGGGGAGGCGGGGAGGCGGGCGAGGACGAGGGCGAGGGGGCGAGGAGGGCGGCGCCAGCCCGTGCGCACCGAGCGACAGGGCGCCCAGCACAGGCATCGTTGCCTCTCAGAGGGAGCGTCGGATGAGGAGCGAGGAGACTCTGCTGACCACGGCGAGCGTCGGCCGTGACCCAGCTCCCCGCACGGGATCTCCTGAGCGGCCCTCAAAAAAGCAGAGCCCCTTCCGGAGCCCGCAGTGCTCCCTCATGTCAGCGCCGTCTTCACGGCACGCCCGACTGCACGCAAGAGCGACCCTGGGTAAGAACGACCTTTGGTGCGCGGCTTCTTGGGGGCCGAACACAAGCGCGCAAAACGCCACTGCCGCATCGCGTTCGGCGATCGGTGAACCCCATTGGGCCCGCACCAAAAATCAATCCGACGAAACGTCACTCCTACGTGCAGTCGATCGGGCGGGTGCTAATGGGAGGTGGCCCACATGGGGGGCGAAGAAAACGGCCCTAAAGGGGCCCTTGAAGGTCTGTGCGCCAACTGGCTCCAGAAGGAGCCCTAAAGGGCCCCTTTAGGGCCTTTTCTTCACCCCCCAATCGGGCCACCCCCCATTGCCACCTGCCCGATAGTCGATACGAGTACGCCTGCACCGGTCCTGGCCAAGCCAGTCCTGGGCCCTGGGCCCAGAATGCGTGCCCTTGCCCTTAAGTCGGGCGTGTCCCCCTACAGGGGGATTTCGGGCGGAAAATAAAAATTACACAAAAAATACCCTACCAATGGGCCAACATAGTCAAAAAATCGTCGCTACATTCTTTAAGATATTCTTGGATATCCCTCCTATAGAAGGACAGGCCCGACTCAACCCTGCCCTTTCGCGCCGAGCTCTACGGGCGTACGCGCCAATCCCAGGCCCAGGGTGGGCCTGGCAAGGCCAGGGCCAGCGCAGGTAGGTGTATCGTCGGCGCCATCCGATCCTCCTCCTCCTCCTCCCCCCTCCCTCCTCCTCCTCCTCCTCCTCCTCCTCCTCCTCCTCCTCCTCCTCCTCCTCCTCCTCCTCCTTCCCCCTCCGCCTCCTCCTCTCCTCCTCTCCTCCTCCTCCTCCTCCTCCTCCTCCTCCTCCTCGTCCGATCCTCCTGCTCCTCCTCTTCCTCCTCCTCCACCTCCTCCTCCTCTTCCTCCGATACTTCTCCTCCTCCTCCCTCCTCCGATCCTCCTCCCCTCCTCCTCCTCCCTCCTCCTCCTCCTCCTCCTCCTCCTCCTCCTCCCTCCTCCTCCTCCTCCTCCTCCTCCTCCTCCTCTCCTCCTCTCCTCCTCCTCCTCCTCCTCCTCCTCCTCCTCCTCCTCCTCCTCCTCCGATCCTCCTCCTCCCTCCTCCTCCTTCTCCTCCGATCCTCCTCCTCCTCCGCCTCCTCCTCCTCCTCCTCCTCCTCACTCTCCGCCTCCCGCCCTGCCCTGATCAACCAGCGCAAATTCTCTCTCTCTCTCTCTCTTTCCAGCTTGCGACTGCTGGTACTTGATTTCTCGCACACGCGCCAGACGGCGCTTGTGAGCGAGTGTGAGTGCGCCGGTCCTCCTGCATACCGAGCACCCGCAGCAACTCCTCTGGGGAAGCCAGAAAATACTAATACCGCTGCTCCCTGGGCCGCTCCCGGAGTGGGTTCTGACTAGAGCTTGGAGGCGAATTCGGCCGCGGGAGCCGAGGGCCTCCCAGGAAGTCCAAAAAGGCGAAACCCGAAGCAAGGGTCCTCAAAAAGGCGAAACCCTAAACCCGAAGTCCGGGGAACCCGAAGCAAGGAAGTCCAAAAAGGGTATCGGAACCGTTTCCTCCTCGGCTCCTCCATATCGCCATCCCACGCCATGGCCGCGTGCATCGCGCCCATGGGACTCGTCGTCGCGTCTGCGAGGAAAAGGATAAGGAAGAGGAGGAGGAGGAGGACGAGGAGGAGGAAGACGACGAGGAGGAGGAGGTGAAACAGGAGGAGGAAGAAAGCAGGAGAAACAGGAAGAGGAGGTGGAGGAGGAGGTGAAGGAGGAAGAGCATGAGGAAGAGAGCAAGAAGAGGAGGAGGACGAGGACGAGGAGGAGGAGGAGGAGGAGGAGAGCCAGTGCAAACACAAAACCCATCAACGATGTTGCAATAAACCTCTTCCGCCAAATCCCCTCTTAATATATCCTTACAGAGATTCATTTTCATAGTGGGAAA